TTTTTTTTTTTCATAATAAAATCTCGCAATATCCCGTATCACTCCGAGTGTCAAAAATTAAAACAGCTAATGCAAGTTAGCGAACACGAGTTAACACGTGACCGGTCAACAACCAACGTGTTGATTCTTCGACTTTTGGATCTCTCGGTAGGACTTTCGTTGAAGAAAACGGTGATGCAACAATGGAACAATGTAATTACTCGTACTTGTTGGGAGAACAAGGATCCAGCTTGTCCTCGCAGTTCCTGCCGGTGTGCGGTAGCTCGCAAACGCATTTGTAATCGTTGACCAGATCGATGCAGGAGCCGCCGTTCTGGCACGGATTGTTCGCGCAGTCGTCGATGTTCGTCTCGCAGTTGGTGCCGGCATATCCGGCCAAACACTTGCAACTGTAGCCGTTCAAATGGTCGTTGCAAGTGCCACCGTGCTGGCACGGATTCGAGCCGCACTCGTCGATGTCCGCCTCGCATCTCTTGCCACCGTAGCCGGGCAAACAGTGGCAGATGAACTGGTTCACGCCGTCCTCGCAAGTGCCGCCGTTCACGCAAGGATTGCTGGCGCACTCGTCCACGTCGCTTAAACATCTGGCATCGTAGTAGCCGCGAGGACAATCGCACCGGAAGCCGTTTATCAAATCTATGCACCGTCCGCCGTTCGCGCAGGGATTGCTGGCGCACTCGTTGATATCCGTCTCGCAGTGCGAACCGGTGAACCCTGGCTCACACTCGCACGAGTACCTGAAAAAGCAAACGTATGATCGCGTCCACTGAGAATGGAAAGTACATCATATTATCTGTTGATCGCGGGGCCACGAATCCTTAGATTACATTTTACTGTTCTTATGCTTTTGTTTCTTATTCTTTTATCACACAAGTTAAGTTTATGACATATACTTAGAAGTCTTTACACATTTTTCTCCATTGCTCAAATGTAGACTAGAAATTTCGAGAATTTGCAACGAGGCCCCTAAATCCCATTAATCCATTTCCCAATATACCACAATAATTTTTATGTAAATAATGTAATTATGACTATCTAGAAATAATTCAAAAAATTGACTATTATTATTATTATTATTATTATTATTATTATTATTATTATTATTATTTGACATCAAGTTTAATTGTTAATTGAATTTAAAATGATTCGACTAAAAACTTGTTCCTTTACCAAATATAATTTACTAAGTATTTCTTCTATTATCTACTAAATATTTCCTGCCTTAAGATTTAAGATCGCCATTCAATGGAAACTTGACTATCACTCAGATATGGCGTTCAACGTGTTAATGTTATACAAGTAACATTATAATACAATGCAATATTATATTGTAGAATGAAAAGTAACAGTAAGTTAGATTTTGGTGTTAGACTGGGTGTTCCTCGCGGCACGAATTTTCTAATTAAGTTTCATCGACTCTCGCCGTCCAGTGATGGAGCTATTTTAATCTAATATTTCCAATTTTAATAATTTCATTTCGAAAATCTATCTCCAAAGACAAAAGTCAATATTTTTTTTTTGCTGTACTATACTTCAAGAAGATAAATCCCGATAAATATCCGTTCAATCCGAGGGTTAAAGGCATGTACGAGCAGAGAAATTTAGAAATTTGCTGGATCAATCGGAGCTACTGCTCAATTCTTCCAGATTGCGATAATATCTATTTAGTCATAATATCAAGTCAGTAATAAATTAATGTAAAATCGACGTCAGTTGTAAATATAACATTTGGTTATAACCTCTAGCATTTCGACATTTTAAATGTTATTAATTCAAATAAATTCCTGTAAGTAATTGCAGACCGACCTGTTGATACCGTCGATACATCTCGCTCCGTTTCTACAAGGATTGCTGTAACATTCGTTCACGTTCACCTCGCAGTTGGTCCCGGATGTTCCCGGTCTGCAAATGCACTGGTAGCCATTGATACGGTCCTCGCACCTCCCGCCGAATTGGCAAGGATTGCTCTCGCACTCGTCGATCTGCGTTTGACACAGTTTGCCGGTGAATCCTGGGAAGCAGTTGCAGCTGAAGCTGTTCTCGCCGTCGATGCAGCTGCCGCTGTGACAGGGATTCGACTGGCAGTCGTTGATGTTCGTCTCGCAGGATGCACCCGTGAATCCTGGCGGGCAGTCGCACGTGTACTTGGCTATCGAGTCTTGACAGATGCCGCCGTTCTTGCACGGCGACGAGGCGCAGTCGTCTATGTTGATCTGACAGTGAGAGCCGGCGAATCCGTTCGCGCAGTTGCATTTGAACGAGTTGATCAGGTCGGTGCAAACGCCCCCGTTCAGGCACGGCTTCGCCGCGCATTCGTCGATGTCGATCTCGCACTGCGTGCCGGTGAAACCTGAGGAACAGTGTACGACTTAATTTATAAAAGAATTATTAAATGATTAAGATGTTGAAGTTTATAATATTAGAGATATTACGAAAGAATTCGAACACCAGATATACACAAGGGATTGTTCGGACGAAGAGTTTTATCTTTCTGTAAACTTCGCTTCGTTTTTTTCTTTTTTTTTTTTTTTTTCTTTGAAGTTGAACGTGATTCGCGAACATCCTCGAGCAGACGAATAAAGTCGTAAGACGGATGATCGTCGCAATTAGCCTCAATTAGCCACGACAGTCGAGAAAGGGGGAACCAGATGAACCAGATAGGCGTTCGCCGCTAATTGCATCTTCGATCGATCGATTTCTTCTCTTTTTTTTTTTTTTTTTACGCTTCTTCACTCTCGACGATGATGCCCGGACACCGATAATTGCATCAATTATCGACAGTAATTACACCTAACGCGATCGTCATCGCGTATTGCGGAATGACATCAAAGAAAGGATGATTCGTTGGTAAATTTGTGTCACACAAACAAGTACCACCCGATAGTATTAGAACGTTAAATTTCTAGCATTGGCATTTTGCATGGCAACAAAAATTGCGGAAAAAGGACGAACTGTAAAATTCTACCAACAACAATAAGAAACCAATGCACGAAACTCTGGCAACTTCCGCTGATTACGCGATCGAAATGGCGACCGGTTAACTGGGGATGGTAGAGAGCTAATTTAGAAGAACAAGCCAGGGAATTCAGTAACGAATCCTAAGAGCGCGACCAACCGATAAATTCCTTATCCGTGTATGGCAGAATTCTCAATGGGAGAAAGTTATCGTTCGAGTTGGCTTGGCCTTCCGCGTTAGAGCGATTCGATCGAACAGTGCAAATACTGCATCGAACAAATATCAAAATCGGTTGTAGCCGAGTCTACTTTCTCGATATTTTCCGAGGAAAAGAAAGTTAATATTTTGAACAAATTTCTTCTGAAATTTAAACCGAAAACACACGTTGTTTGTGATTAACAAATAATGAATAATTTTCTCAACTGTGAATACCTTCTCTTGGATTCACTGGAGCAAAGTTAAACAAAGTTAATATTTGTAAATGTCTGTCATTTTAATAAAGAAACATACAGATATTTGTATATTGTATACAACAGAATAATTGATTAGATTATAACTTGTTCCACTACAAATACCTTCTCTTAGATTCTCTGGAGTAAAGATAATATTTGTACACATCTATGTATTATATGTATTCCTGTTATTTTGATAAAGGAATATAAAACATACAGCTATTTATATAATGTGGTCAATAAATTTTACTTTTTATTGGAGATTCAACAGAGTAATTGATTTGATAATTAGATTATAATTAGCTCAACTGCAAATACCATCTCTTGGATTCACTGGAGCAAAGTTAAACAAAGTCAATATTTGTAAATGTCTGCATGTTGTTATTTTAATAAAGCAACATACAGATATTTGTATATTGTATACAACAGAATAATTGATTAGATTATAACTTGTTCCACTACAAATACCTTCTCTTAGATTCTCTGGAGTAAAGATAATATTTGTACACATCTATGTATTATATGTATTCCTGTTATTTTGATAAAGGAATATAAAACATACAGCTATTTATATAATGTGGTCAATAAATTTTACTTTTTATTGGAAATCCAACAGAATAATTGATTTGATAATTAGATTATAATTTGCTCAGCTGCAAATACCATCTCTTGGATTCACTTGGAGTGAAGTTAATGTGCAAATGTCTGCATTGTTATTTACATAATTGATATATTATGATCAATAAATTTTACTTTTTATTGGGAATCCAACAGAATAATTTATCTTCACTTGTTCAACTATAAATACTTTCTCTTGGATTTACTGGAGCAAAGTTAAATGTACGTTGTTATTTTAATAAAGAAACATACAGATATGTGTATATTGTATACAACAGATAATTGATTAGATTACAACTACAAATACCTTCTTTTAGATTCTCTGGAGTAAAGATAATATTTGTACACATCTATGTATTATATGTATTCCTGTTATTTTGATAAAGGAATATAAAACATACAGCTATTTATATAATGTGGTCAATAAATTTTACTTTTTATTGGAAATCCAACAGAATAATTGATTTGATAATTAGATTATAATTTGCTCAGCTGCAAATACCATCTCTTGGATTCACTTGGAGTGAAGTTAATGTTTGCAAATGCCTGCGTTGTCATTTACATAATTGGCATATTATGATCAATAAATTTTACTTTTTATTGGGAATCCAACAGAGTAATTTATCTGGTGATTACACTGTAACTTGTTCAACTATAAATACTTTCTCATGGATTCACTGGTGCAAAGTTAATATTTGTAAACGTCTATATGTTGTTATTGTAATAAAGAAACTATGGAATATATAGGGATTTATGTATTGTGGTCAATAAATTTCTCTTTCTATTGGAGATCCAACAGAATAATTGATCTGATAAGTAGATTATCAATTTATTCAACTATATAAATACTCTTCTCTTCTCTTAAAATTCTCTGGAGTGAAGCCAACATTTATATACGTGCACTGCTGTTATTTTAAGGAAGGAACATAAAACACACAGAACGTTCGTATATCGTAGTCAATAAATGTTCTTACTGATGCGAGCATTCTATGCTACCCATATCAGAAATTCACGTACGTACGTTCCGGGTTAATAAACAGATCATGTAGAATTTTGCCAATTTTCCAATTGCTCGTTCGCAGAAATATCGATGCTGTTCGCCAACCGGATGACGCATGGATCTTTACCGTATTTACATTCACTTGATATTTCTCTGTCTCTTTCTCCATTCAGACAATGACACGGTTAATTCAGCCGTGAGCTGAAAGCACGTCCACCAATTGCAGATCCTTGTCGTTTCCTCTCGAGCCCTTAAGGGGCAACCCACGTTCACCGTGAATCGTTAAATATACTTTTTGACAATGTTTCACTGCGAAATTTTCCACTGTCAGTGTTATCTTCCACGGACGTATTTTTTTTTTTTTTAAATGGACAAAAACAACCCACTCACTACTTTTTAAATTAAATCTCGTACAAATAAAATAGAAATCTCGTGGAAAAAGCTACTTTACGTAGAAATCGAAGAACCGGCGTCGATCTTGACCTCGACAACACCGGCACGACTACAATAGCGATTCGAGATTCACGAGAGTTGCGTAGGAGAGCAAGCTGCCGCGCGCGCGAGCAGGATCAACGACGATGAGGATGATGACTAGCTTCCACAAGGTTCCCTGGACCTTGATCCTGGGATCGTTTCCGCGATGCGAAAACGAATCAGACGGAAATCGAACCACGGCGCTTGGCTAACGGTATCGAAGATTGCCGGGAACAATGCGAAAGGACTCGCATGCATCGCGGGGATGCCTGTTGTTGCATCGCAAGGAATTAGAGACGAGTTTTTCACTCGATCGTTGTCTCGATGGAACGTTATTGCCTGAGATTTGTCTTCTCCTCGGGGCGAGGAAAAATGTAGAATCTTCGCAGTTAGTGGGACGTGTGATCGATGACTTTCTGAATCCGATGCGAAGAATCTACGTTCACGAACTCGTGTGTATGTATGTGTGGGGAACGTTGAAACAAAGTTCACCTCGAAAGAGATGGAAATGAAACGACTCGTTCTCAACTAATTTGAAACCGATCCTTCTTTACGATCTTTACGTTAAATTCAACTTCGTCGCTCACTTCCCCCCTCCCTCCCCCCTAAGAAGCTGAAGACGAGAGAATGGCGTGTAATGACGATGATAAAAAAAAAAGTCATCGGGCGTAGTCTGGCGAGAATCGGATCCGCGTCGATCGTTGGCGCGCTGGCAACTCCCACGTTTAGCCAGGCGTGTTCGGATAATTGTAATCTATTGCCTCGGCAGTGTTCTCGAACCAGCCTA